CAGTCACACGTTTTGGTTTTTATTGGCCCCTTCAGAAGTTGTTCCATTCCCTTTTGTCTGTTGAATCATTCTGGTCATCTCAAAGGAGCAAAGTTACTAGCCAACACACACACACACACACACACACACACACACACACAAACAACAGCAGTTATCAGTAACATTAGATAAAAGACACATGAGTGTGGCTCATATGTACACTCGATATAAATGGATGATAAACTACTGGAGTATCTCCCACAATGCTTTATCAGTATTACAATAGTTTTCAGCCCTATGCACTTCAACCTCCAACATGCACACAGACGGCTTGGCAGTTGACATCTCTACTAAGCTGCCTCCCTGACCCCTGTTGCCCCAGGCAACCCCTTGTTCTTGCAATGTTTAAAAAGATGTGAGGAGCACAGTCTCCCACCAGGATAACACTGGGAGCGAACACAGATTAAAGTCTGCTAGTCTCACAATGGGAGCCCTTAAGGCTACACAGAGGATAGCATGTGTGTGTGTGTGTGTGTGTGTGTGTGTGTGTGTGTGTGTGTGTGTGTGTGTGTCTGTGTGTCTACGTATGAGCTCCCACTATCTGTGATTTTTGCTTCTGTACATACACGTGTTTGTATATAGATGCTGCACCTCCATATGTGTGCACGCCTACTTCTACCATACATTTCTATCGTGTATGGCCTTTAATTTTGAAAGGAGACAAATGCTGTGCAGGCCCATATTGAGGCAATGAAAAGAACCATTTCTCTCTACCTACAGATCAATGGGTTCCCATTCAATTAGAAAGTCTGAAACCATTAGCACCCGGCTAATGACTCCATTCTGGGGAGCTGGGGAGCTTTGGCCTCGGGGTAGAAGGGTGGCGGGTGGGGGAGCCAGAAAAAGCATCCAGGCTGGGTGGGGGATTTCTTTAACTGCATTCATTATGAGTGCATTACACTTCTTTAGTGTCTTATCGGGCAACACTCTCCAGATAGCATATTGCAGCAGGGTGTTGAATGCTTTGTCCCTCTGGCCTTGTTTCAGCAAATGCTAAAGCTGTGCCCCTTCAATTACTTTGTAACAGTTTCCTTTTTCCACTTGATTATTCACTTTGTTTGTTGTTGTTTTTTTTTTTTACATTAATTGTTGCTAATAAATCTTGTGTTGCTCGGTGCCAGCCCAACTTTGTCTGCCTGTAAACTGAGTGAGAGGTTAACTTGCAGGTCCTCCTACTATTCCTGTAATGATGACAGCTATTCATTACTGTATGATGGAGGCAGCGCTTTTAGGTGAATTCAGACATCCCCCAGTTTTGCTCTCCAATTTTCAACACAGCCCTGCGGCAATCATTCATTCGCCTCAACTTGTTAAATATACAGTTAAAAATACTGATGAACTCTGGCAGCTCACCTGGTAGAGCTGGCAACCCATGCACCAAAGACTGAGTCCTTGCTACAGTGGCCATGGGTTCGAGTCCGACCTGTGGCCCTCTGCTGCGCGTCATCCCCTTTCCTGTCTATCTTAAGCTGTGCTGTCAATAAAGGCAAAAAAGACCCGATATATTAAGTTTTTAAAAACCTAAAAGAAATAACTGATGACAGTTGCAGTAATGAAAATACCAGTTGGCCTACACAAACACAGACGACAAGAAAGAAAGAGCAGAAGAAAGGAAAAAGAAAGACGCAGATAGTAGTAAGCAGAAAGTAGGCAAGCAGCCAGGCAGACAGAAAAATGGGTGTATATAAGAGAGTTTACAGGTAGGAACCATGTGGCTACAAGCAGAGGTAGGACGCCATGGTCAGAGTCCATATCCTGTGTCTTAATAATGCGTGCTGTGGCCTCAGGGGAATGGCAGCTTTAATGGGGAGGCAGTCTGCCACTGGTAAACACATGCTGGAGCTCAGTGAAAACACTGCTGGCAAAGAATTAGGTCATTTGAGATAAGCATGAGAGCAGCATCGCCTTGAAATCATTTTTGGCTGCATGTGTGTGTGTGTGTGTGTTAGTGTGTTATGTGGAAACTCTCCCTATTAAACATTTGTTTAGCTTGACATTCGTTTACCTCAACTGTCTGTTAGCTTAGACAAGTCTAAATCAAATCCGTTTTCTGTTTATTACAGGGAAACTGAAATCACTTCAGTTTTGGAACTAATTCATTTTAAATAGCCTGTTACATTCAATGTAAGGGTAGAAAAAACACTACAGGCTCCCAGTTACTCATGCTACAGATTTGGACCTCGAGTCTGGTGTAAAGCTATCAGGGATATAATGATATTACATTTCACAGCAGCATTTGTACGCAGTGAATGAGCCATGACACCAGCCGCATGAGGTAAGGAGTTGGCCTGGTGCAGAGGTAGCTGAGGTTAAACGGAAAAGCAGGGGATGTGTCATTACTCTGAAAAAAACATTTGTCATGATTCTGGTCACTCTGTAGTGAAGATCAAGTGTTAACATAATCACTTCGCCAGATTCTTTCTTCCAGACTTATTATTTAGAGTCTCTCTAATTCTCTCTCATTATTAGAAGTAGAGTGTTTGATGAACGGTACATAAGTCAAGGTTCATAAAGGAGAGGGGAGGATAGGAGAGGAAAAGAGGAAAAGTGAGGAGATGAGAGGGCCATGCGGTCTGCCAATTGCTTTCCGTTTGATTGCTCTGGTCTGGTTCATCTGGTGCAGGAAGAGCCGGGAAAAAAGAGATCGGGCGCATCCAGACTCGATTAGCTGGGCCTGCTCTACTTTCCTCCTGGGACTGCCAATGGGGTGGTGTGGCATAGGGAGATGGGGGAGAAGTGCTGGTGGGGGAGTTCACAAGGGGCAGTGGGAGGGAGGAGAGACTAGGTGTGGAAGGTTGCAATGGGGGACGGAGGGGAGGCTGCACGGTTCTCTCCCTAAGAAGTGCTAACTTGGACAGTGGGAGGAATTTTTTGTGGTTTATCCAACAAGAGCTGCTCCATCTGTATAAACTGGAGCCTGCCAAAATGTAGGCTCTCTCTCTCCATACACACACACATGCTCGCACACACACACACCAAAGGCTGCCAGAATGTCGACTCCCTCTGTCCAAAGAGGAGCAGAGAAACTTAACTCCCTCATTACTCGCTCAGATAACTAGTGCTCAGATGCTTAGATAAAAAGTTACAAGAAACACACATGAGCTCACACAGAGCAGAACTCACACACATGCAAGCACACACACACACACACACACACACACACACACACACACACACACACACACACACACACACACACACACACAGTCCATTGAGAAGGTGAGTCCTGAGGCTCTCCTGGCTGAAGAGTACTTAAAAGAATTGTTTTCCCCCGTTCTGCCGAGCTCCTCTAATGACAGTGGTGTGGAGACAGAGGTTATGTAAGTGTGAGCTGCAATCACACTCCACGCCATTTAGACGTGACTCAGCTGGCCCAAAGCCTGTTTGCGTGAGTGTGTGTGTGTGTGTGTGTGTGTGTGTGTGTGTGTGTGTGTGTGTGTGTGTGTGTGTGTATGTGTAAAAAACACTGGACAGAGTCTGTAAGAGAGAGAGAGAGAGAGAGAGAGAGAAGTTTGAAGGCAGAGTTTGGTGTGTGTATGTCTGTTTTTGTTTTTGTCCGTGCATGTTAGGGGGGTCAGGGTTACAGCACATTTGTTGGGGACGTTGAAGGATGTCTTTTAATTTTGTTTGCTAGTAATACATTAAGAGGACAAAATGACACAACACAATACATCCCTTATTGCTTTCTAATACACATTTTTAAATGGTTGTTCAGGGTAAGTCTACCAGAAGTGAGTGAATATTCAAGTGTGTGTGTGTGTGTGTGTGTGTGTGTATGTATGTAAGTGTGACACACAGTGGCCCCTTAGTTTCCCAGCATGGCTTGTGGCAGAGAACTGACATCTTTCCACAGGATATGAGAACTGTGTGATCATCCATCTGAGCTTCAAGTTGAGAGGAAAAAACATAAACTCTACAGCGCCTCCTTTCGTGCCTTATTTTGTATTACTCCCTCACACACACACACACACACACACACACACACACACACACACACACACACACACACACACACACACACACACACACACACACACACACACACTCTCTCTCTCTCTTTTCTAAGATGGCTCGTGTCTCTTTAAAACTTTGCTCTTCTTTAGCCAAGGGGGCAGGGTTGTACTCTGTGAGTCACTGGGCTGTCCCTGGCACAGACAGACACATGCACATAAATTCACGCACACACACAAACTTGAAGCTCTCTCCATGTGTATGAGTGGAGCTGGTCCTATGCCCAGCCTCAGGGCTGCATGGCCCCAGCACTGTATCACTTAACCCTTCAGGAGCTCATACTGGTCCAATTCAACCCCAGAAAAGGGAGTATCAGCTCAGTATGTCAGAGCTTGACTGTTCAGGTTAAGCCTCTTACACTTTGTTCTCCAACTGTCTGCGAGTAAATGCCACATACAGTAACTCCCATAAAAGCCACAACTACTTTTCAAGTGAGCTGTTCCTTTAACAGTTTGTACAGTTGGCTGTTTAACTCTTTAGGAGGTCTCGCCAAGCAGCTACAGGGCTACTGCTAAACTCAACAATGGAGAAATAGGTTTTTATGACATTATTTATGAAAGCACAATCACAATTTGCTCTTCAGCTTGTTGTTGCTTTACACAACCTCACACAGATGCTTCATTTCTTCAGTGTCAGGGAGGACATGCTCAACTGGTTGCCTCAAAAGTTCATTCTTGATGCCTACTGACATCAGCAACCTTTGAACCTTGAACTTGGGCAACTAAATTCAAGTTGTATGTATTGTACTGACATATTAAAACTTCTTTATCTTTATTACCTCTTCTCTTTTTGTCTCTCTCTATATCTCTCTCTCTCTCTCACAAACACACACACAGACACACACTTGTCTTTGTGCAGATTTTCTCTTTGTGAGCATGCAGGACAGGAGACAGTCAATATTTGGGCTATGAAGTCAGTGTGCGCCAGAACAAATAGAAGAAGACCAGTCATCTGAGCATGTGTACACAAAACCATCAGCAAGTAATGGCCATACAGTGGCTTGGAACATGACTCAGACAGCATAGGCGGAGATGGGATGTAAGGCCATTGAGAGCTGGCGTGAAGTGTGTTAAGTATGATGGGTGCAGTGACAGATGGTTTGACCTTATCTGCCGCAGTTGTGGGATCTTGACTGTGAAAGACGTTGGACCTCCTCTCCTCTCTGCTCCCGGTAAGATAGATCCCCACGGTGCTATAGCTACTCCAATAACCATGTCAGCTTGGAGGCAGAACTATTGCCCTCCCACCTTTACCAGAGGGTAACCTCTGGAGTAATCCCTCGAGGGTCCAGACTAATAATAGTATATGGATATGATCCTATGGAAATGATAGTCCAGCACAGAATTAAATGGCAGTCAAATGTATGTTAAACACTGGATGCTTATATGTGGCGTGACTAGTATGGAGAGAGTGAAAGTACGAGGTTTGGGCTTTATAACACTGTGTTTTAACTAGAACAGTTGGCAGCACCTGAACATACAGTGGCCGAGTCAAAGAAACATACATATACACACTAGAGGGCATGTACACACACATAGAAAGTATGGTTGCTGAGGAGTGTTCTGTAATTCTAGTGTGTGTTAATGACTCTCCCAGGCACACTGGAGAAGACGTTAAAAACTCTGGCTGTGATTTACTGTGCAGTGATGCAAGCTGGGACACGACCCAGAGATTCACACTGTGGCACGGATTCGCATATAGTCTCACTCTCACACACACACACACACACACACACACACACACACACACACACACACACACACACACACACACACACACACACACACACTGAGCGATCTAAACACAAAGGTGGAATCTAACAATGAACAAAGGAAGTTTATGCTGAGATTAACAGCTTAGATTGGTAAATTAAACGTGTTTTCATGTGAGTGCTAGCTGCGTTTTATAAACTGGATAAATAATTCAACCAGTTAAGTCTTCATTATCAGTCCTTGCATTTTGCATGTTCAGTGTAGCTCTATGATCAACTCTATGGGATTGTATTTGAATTAAACACTATAAATTATATTCCAATTCTCTTTATACGGGCCATTGACTGGCATTACAGTCACACATCAATCAAGGGCCAAGTCACTTAGCAGCCATTAAACTGTAACAGTGTTTGTGTTTATACAGCTTGGCTCTGGCCGAAAACAAAAACATAGAGTCCTCATTTGCCCACCACAATCTCGTTACAGCCGTACAAACAAGTCATTTTTAATCCGCCAATTACAGATGAGAAAAAGGAAGAGGAGATCTGCGAGACGATCCATCACAAGTTTGTGGCTGGCGATGGCTGTAAAAGTGCATCGCCACAATGTCGCATTGAACGACTTGCGGTCTTCCAAATGTCTTTTCATGAACTGAAAGTAAAACAAAGAGCATGAAGGCCGGCAGCTCTCCAACCACAGCAAAATAATAACAGGATAGGTTCTGTTTCATAGCAAGCCCTTGTATACTTTTGATTTGCCCAGAGCCAGACACCTGCTCTGGGTTGGGTTTACAAAACCCTAGCCCTAGGGCACACACAGGCCTCAACCTAAGTCACCTGTATTTACACTGGATTTACTGAACGTCTACAGCCCAGTGGTGTGGTTTGTATGATAGGATATACCGCAATGTGGATTGCGAAATGAGTTGGGTAATATCACCTCTGGTCGGGTTAAGAAAAGATTGGTAGAAGACTGATTAGGTTTGTTTTGGAGAAATCCACTCCCCTCCCTTTGGAAAGGTTTGTTAAGTCCTGTTCCCATAGTATATACAGCTCCATGCCCTACTTCTGTCCTCCACCAAGAATAACATGTACCTGGACAACACTGACCATTTAGACAGCTGCAGGGAGGGTGAGAGAGAGAGAGACAGAGGGGGGAGGGCTGGGAGTGAGGCCTGGGGTACAAAATAAGAGAAGAATAATGAACGATTGAAGGTAATAATGTGGCACGCAATGAAAGAAAGAAAGGAATCGGGGATTGATGGGAAGAAAGAAACGTGTAGGAGGAACCCATAAAGTTACAGTGAATGAAGGAGACAGAGAGATATGCCTATCTATCCTTTAAAAAGTTAGTTGAATCTCCGGAGGTTTAATTGAATTTGAAATGAGTCGGGAGGCAGAAAGTTAGCAGAAGCTCTGGAAGGCTTAGCACTAAAGATGAAGAGCCGGTGAATGACAGGAGAGAAGACAGAGGAGGAGAAGACTCCATAACAGTAGCATACAGAGTCCTGTTTGAGGAAAAAGATTCGGCCACGCACAGGTAAATTGATCTCACGGGAGGGTGAGTAATAGTGGAGTAAAAGCTGCGAAGGAAGGTATGGATTGGAACTGAAATGAACAAAGCATGAAGACGAGGAGAAATAAGAGAAAAATAAGGAGCCATACAGGCAGAGGCTGAGAAAAAAAAGACAAGAAGTGAAGTCGGAGAGAAGTGGACGGAGGCAGAGCTTCCGAGAGAAATAGAGAAGGAGGTTTAGGGTGGGCCTGGGCTGAGGGTTGTGAGGCGCAGTGCTCTCTCCAGAGCAAACAGATGCTAACAGAGGGGCTGTTGTCTGGGTCAGGGTGGGCCAGGGGAGGGGACAGCAACATCGGGATGTGAAATGTGACAGATCTATTTTTGGGCTCCAGCACAGGAGCCCTTCCCTGCTCTGAACCAGGTGTCAGGGTCAGGGGTCAAGGGCAGGACAGCAGAATCTAAAGCACCAGTTGAAGTGGATTAGTTTGACTGGAGGAGATCCTGTAATTTAATTTTTAAGTGCTGTGTGCATTCCAGGTCTAATTCCAGAAGACGATTCAAGCGAGGAAAAGGAGCTTTGTGATTTCTTGAAATCACTGCTGACAGCCCAAATAGAAAGCGTTGCGATCTTTGAACATTCAACTCAAACTGTACTGCTTTTATAAAAAAAAATTAAAAGATGAGTTTCTTTGCAGTTACTGACTGCAGTTCAAATGTATATACACTTTTCACTTTGTACACTTCCGTCATAAACACACTGCAAAATCAGTGTGTCAGAGTGAATAATAACATGACCATCATCATCATCTCTTCCTTGTTTCTCAACATTCCAGTATTTCAGTGTTTTCGGTTACTTTTCTACAGAAAAACCAAATGTACTTCCTCTTCCTTTCATTAAGCGTGTGTTACTCTCGAAATGAACTAAATGTCTGGGAAGTTAATACCACTTTCAGAATATGTTAACTCCTGGTGGTTAATTTCGCAAGGTCTCTCATAAGTCATCAACTTTGATTCAGATGTTGTGGTTTGTTTTCACAGCTGATCACAACCTAACATCACGCTTCCTTCCGACTTCTTGCCCTCCTCGTTCTTCCTTCCTAGTTGCTCCTCTTTCCCATGCATCCCCCATAGTCCCCCCGCCTTCCCACCGCCACCACCACTTCCATTTCTCCCCCACTTTCATTTCCCGTCTTTGAAACAAAACCAAAGCTCCAATTGTAAAATCACCCACCACCTACCTCCACCCCCCACCTGCTCTCTGGTCTGGGCCTATCAAGATCGAGGCAGAGGGGCTGATTATGCAGGCAGCTGTCAGCCCTCTAAGGTGAGGCCCCCCAGGCGACAGTTCAACTGCTTCAGACTGAGGCTGTGCCACCGAGTCTGACAGTAGCACGAACAACACCGAGAAAAGAATGCTAATGGATCAAATCAGATGAGTGCTGAGATGAGAGGAGGGAGCTTGGAGGAGAGGAGGAGGGCGCTGGCAGGCACTCCTGATCAGCTGTCATTCAGACGAGGCCTCGTGTGTGTGATAGCGTGTATTTGTTGTGCGTGTTTGAGCGAGAAGCACTGGCCGCCCAGGATTACGCCCCCAGTTACTGACATGTTTTCCCTCCAAAGTGCCTTGAAGTTTGAGAGATGAAGGAAGGGTGCGAACACAGGGAGGGAGGGGCTGGCAAAAGCGATAGATGGATGTGGGAGGCTATATACAGTACACTGCTCTGTTCCTTTATTCTTCCATCTAACATGCCTTTCCCATCTTCTATCTACCCAGCGTAACTCCACCTCTCTCTTTGACTATCTGTCTGCCTCGGAGCCATACTTTACTGCGGAAAGAGCAACATATCAAAACTTAACGGCATTTTCTTTTCTGAATAATGCTGAGTTCAATATTATTTTGTTTTGAACTTCATTCCTGCGCTTGCTTCTTCTCTCCTCCAGGGCAACCCCTTCATGAGGAGAGACGAGATGCTTTAGCGCCATCACTTATGGGCAGTCAAACAGCCTCCTGTGCGGTGGGAGCTTGTGATTGAAACATAGCAAGCTGAAGCCTTCAGTTCCCCTCTTCTTTCCGATCTCTAAATGTCTGATTCCATTCGCCTCCATAGGACTACAGACAGAGTTAAAGCCTACATGTGCATGTGTTCATGCCATGAATGAATAATGTATTCTGACAGCAGAGGCAGATGGATATATGATCACCAGCTAAAGAGGATTGCTGTGACACTGAACCAGGAAGTACTTGTCAAGTCATGTTACGACTCCCAGCCACGAGCTCACAGTAGATCTCTTTTATTGTTGCCTGGATCGTCACCCACAATCAGGCAGCAGGAAAGTCTTAAGTTCCAACTACGCATAAAATGACCTAAAATAGCAAACTGCCATTTTCCCAAACATCAACTCAAATGCCTTCAAACACAAACAGCTTGACATGCCCCTACCCTACTGCTCTGTCTCCTCCTTACCCCCACCCTAACCCCATCCCTGGCAGATGGCTTTAATTAATATAGACATGATAACGAGATTCCCTGCGATTAATACACACAGCAGTTATGGATTTAAGTGCTAGGGATTCCAGATAATATGATTAACAGCAGTTGGGAGTGGGGGCATCTGGCAGACAATTTGAAATGGAGGAGGGCTGGAGCAATTGCGAAAAGAAGTGTGTGTAAGTGTGTGTGTGAGAAGCGTGCGTGCAATTTTGTGCGTGTGTTTATTTGTGTGCCTGTCTATCAGAGAGGGATCGTATAAGAATGCTGGGGGCCTAACGTCATGCAATCTTAATGGGGAGTTTTTTTATCCACTTGTTATTATGTAGCCAGCTGTCTGTTGTCCCGTAACATATGACTACATGTTAGCACACAATAGCTGCATGGTATTTAACCACATGTGTGCATCTGTGTTTGCATAGTGATCACTGTGAAAGACTTCTATCCTGTAATAT